CAGCCGCCGGAGTGAGCTCAGAGGAAATGCCACGGGCGGCGGGCCCGGCCGCGGCGTGAGGGCCGGGGGCGTTGTCCGCCCCCGGGGGCCGGACCGACGGCCCGGGGCCGCCCGCGGGGCGGGGAGCGGCGCCGCCCGTTCCTTCCCGCCGCCGCCCTGAGGGAGCCGCGGGCGCCCGGACAGCGAAACCCCGGGCCCCGCCGCGGGGGAGGTCGGGCCCCCCAAGTCCGGGCGGCTGCTTGCCCCGGGACAGGGCCCCTCCTCCGCGGCCTGCGCTGCCCCCCCAACCGAGCCCGAGCCGCTCTGCGGGCACCAAACACACCTTTCCGTGCCCCCCTCGCTGCGACAGGGCACTGCAGGGGTGTTTTTGGTGTAAAACGGGGTAGCTTTGGTGTAAAACCGGATGTTTCTGCATCCCCAGATCAGGGTGAGGGCTGTCTTGTCAGGGAGTGCTGCTACCCGGGCAGCGCTGCCTGGTCAGAAGCTCCACGTTGCCCGTTTTTCCTCAAAAGAAAGGAGTTAAAGGTCTGTCCCGCTGCAGGGGAGTCTCAGCAGCTCTGCTGAAGGGTCTGGGTGCCAAAGGGACAGCAAAGTCATCACTGTTAAGACCCCAGAGTGTGTGTGGTCTGATGCACTACTAACAGCTGCTTGCAGTCACATCACGCAAAAGCCTGAGTTTTTCACCTTTTAGACAAATTATTCAGACACAGGCAAACTAAGAGGGAAGAAATAACCCTGGGAGAAGGTTCTAGTTCGTAGCACAGGGACCTTGGGTCTCATGTGTTGTACAACAGCCCCTACCATACCAGGCCCACTGCTGCTGTCGTGACACTTCTGCCCACAGCATCGCCCTCAGCATGAGCCAAATGGAAGTATTAAGGATCCATCAGAAATACACACACAGGGCTACCTCGGGCATCATCCCAAGCCCACAAACAGCAGAGCCAAACATTCAGGTCAGAAGACGGGCACAAAAACATCACCACACATGCAAAGCCTCCAGGCACCGCTGGGGAGCTGAGCAGTGATGTTAAACCCCACAGAAATCTCCGGGAGCTGTCTGTCACTAGGACTTCTTCACCCAAACTACTTCTGCAGGGTGCTGCAGATCTGAAGAGATCTTTAGGAGCTACCTTTTCTCATATCTCATATGATGTCTCCTTCATGGGTTGTATCATCCTCACGGCAGCTGAGCTGTGTTTCTGGCTGTGTCATTGTGTCCCAACTAGCTTAAGCTTGAAGAGTCCTCTACGCTGGTGATGATTAAACCTGAGAAATGAGCATATCAAGCTCCTGCAAGTCTTTGGAGATTCCCATTACCTGAAGTTGCAAAAGTAGCATTTCCAATTTAGAGAAGAGGAAAATTGTGCCTCACAGCTTCAGTCATCAAGGTGGTCTGACATTTTTCCTGTTTGGGACAAGGCTGCTTTATGTAGCGTTTGTCCATCATTGTATTTCTTGACCATAGGGCTGGATTGCATATCACTCTTGTTTTCTTTCTAGAATTCATTCCCCCTGCTTTCTGCACAAATCCTTGAGATCATCCTTGAGACATGCACTTTGCTGGGAGCATGGTAGCTGTGTCGCAGGTGTTGATGGGGACAGCTGCATCATCCTTGGCTTCTATAATTTTAATAATTGTTTACTGGGTTTTGAAGCTGTTTGCTGAAGTTTAAGGACCATCTATGTAAGCATTTTGTGGTGGTTTAATTTCAGGTGATTAAGTTATTACTGCATTACTGCAACTTGCTGCACCTGCACAGCGTCATGGCAGTGCTGGAATACAAGAGACAGAGCCCAGGAAGCTCTCACTGCTGTACCAAGGAATGGATCAGAGAGCCAGTGCAAGAGAAAGACTGTGCAAACGTTTGGTTATGTTATTGGTCTTTATAGGAAACAAAACATGACTTTGAGTACATAAAAATCATACTTCACAGGAAGAAGCTTATGTTTTGTAGCCAAGACGGTGGCAAACTAGGTAACCAAGGTCAAACAGCCTGCATTAATTCACAGGCAACCAAACCAGAGTGAGAGTCAAGAGGACACTTGAGAGCTTACAAAGATGTCCTAGTCACTCCAACACTGTCCCTTGCAGTTATAATCAGAAATTTTCTTTTTTTTTTTAAATTAAAAATAAAACAGATATAAAGGTAAGAAACCATAGGCAATTTTGTAACATCTCAGCCAGCACAATATTCCATGCCCCATATTTTCTGACAGCTGAAGCCACAACCTTGCTACTCGGCACTGTCATTCCACAACAGCCGTATCTTTGAAAACAACCAGGAAGCAAAAAGCATCTTCCTTCCTCACTCCCTGTGTCATATTTTCTTGCATTTCTTCACAAAGCTGGATAAGAGGACAAAAACTTTCCTCATGCTCCTTATTGCCTGTGACCCAGTGCTTCAAACTCTTTGTTCTGCACCCCCAAATACCCAAGAATGTTTAAGAAGCACAGCTGTGCTGGTACAAAAACTGGCCTCCAAGATATTTTATTGAAAAATATCGTTGAACTCCATGAACCTACTGGCCCATATATTCGACTTTTACCAGCCTGTGCTTTTTTACACCCTCAAGCCCAGCATGTTTCACATGCCTTCAGGTCTCGCTACAGGCATCCCGATTTTTCAAGACAGCCTGCGCTCTCTTTTCACGCAAGGCTGATTTGATTAGCTGCACATCCACGCTCTGGAGACAGACAAGCTACATCTGTGGAAGCCAGCACAGCCCTTCGTGCCTGTCAGGCAGCTGCTGCCCACGGGGAGACCCAGAGCTCAGCAGCACGGCCATTATCACTGTGGGACCCACAAACAGGGGGACGGCGGCAGCTTCACCTCCAGCTGTGGGCCCCACAGACTGGAAAAAATCCAAATATCACCCCAGCCAGTGGGAGAAGCGCAAGGGCCAGCTGGCAGGAAGCTTTCCACCAGCCACACCAGACCCACCAGCACAAACACCAGCCCAGCTCGTGCTTGTACAGGCAGCAGACGGTGCCGGTACAGGCTCACTCAAGCTGCAGAGTAACAGGGTGTATGCTAATAATGTGACCTCAAAATCAGGAGTGAATCCACAGCATTGATTTTTACTACTGCTGTTTAAATTAGCAGCTAGTCCTTTCTCACCTCCACAGCCCGTGGCAAGATGAGAGCTGTAAAGCCTGTGGCTGATAACGATGGCCAACAGCCATCTTTTCCAGGCCCTTGGCTGCTTCACGACTCCCTGAGCACAAGCTGGGTCTCTGGGCAAAATGCTGAATACATCAGAGGTGAGAGATTTCAGAGGTGAGCGATTGCTCAGCTTCACTGTCCAGACCCTACTTGGAAAGAGCCAATTTCAGAGCCACTCTCTGCTCACACGAGCGATGGACATTTGGTGGCTGCTGTACCAGAATTGACGTGGTCATAAACACAAAACTGCTTTCAGCTGCCAAATAGCAAGAAGCATCATTCCTCATTACCCCTCATTCCCATCCTGCTGAAATTATGCTGCAGGGACTGTATTTACTTTGTAATGGATACAGTTTCTCCACATTATCACAGCTTATCTGTAGTTGGCATTTTACAACCTAAGACAGAGGAAAAGACATAAACCATTTTATTGTGTCTGGAGTACTTTGCTCCTCTTGTCACTTCCAGTAACAAGAATGTGTTGAACTTGAGAACAAGTTGCAGTGATCTGCGACTCACCTCTCCTGCATGGCCTTCCAGTGGTCATGATCAGATTTGTTTTCATCTTTCTCTGTCTCCCAAAGAAGTAGCAGCTCATTTGTTTGGATTTAAATATCTATAAATTCCACTACTGACCAGTTATAATGCTGATGGCTCCTTGTTTTAAGCAGTAGTCTTCTTGTTCCTGTATAGTATAAAACTAAAAAAAGAAAAAAAAAGTTTTTGAGGTTTTAAATAGCAGTTGCGCACTCCAGAAAAATAATACCTTGTACGCTAATAACCATGACCTCAAAATCAGGACCAGAGAGAATCGACAACATCAATTTTTACTACCATTGTTTAAATCACCCATTGTTTAAATAGATGTTATCTAAACATTTGCTTCAGAATGCCCCTTGTCCAGGATATCCTGTCCGCTAAATAAGGCATAATGTTATACTTATTCACATACAAGTCTGAGCTAAAAATAGATATCCCAATATATACAATCTGCATGAGATTTGCAGAGGCCAGAGGAAGCGTTTGCTATACAGCACCCATTAAAGTTTCTCCCCATTTAGCAGCATTTTGTACATCTGTGTAACTGATCTGTTAATGCTGCCCTGTGCCAGACACTGCCTGGGAGGCAGGAAGAGCAGCCTGCCCAGCGAGGTCACCACCTGAGCAGGTGAAAGAAAGTGGCAGAAAGACAAAGGCACAGACAAGGTGACAACATTTCTCTGGTGCTTTCACAATGCTCCTGAGACACAAGCCTTAGAATTCCCACCTGGTCAGTACCTGCCCTGGGGAACCAGAGCTGCACGTAACCCATTGCAGGTGCAGGAGGAAACATGGGGATCCATTCCTGGACCAGTGATGTAGGGCTGCTCTTCCACAGCGGGTGGGCTATGCCTCCAACTCGGTATCAGGCACTGTTAAACGTTCTATAGCAGAAAAGTACAATAATCAATTGCAAAACAATACAAAGTTTGAAAGATCAGTTGCTTGACTTCATGCCCCGATCATTACTCTTGTAATGGTTGACAGGCTGAGAGAGTTGGGGTTGTTCAGTCTGGAGAAAAGAAGGCTCCAGGGAGACCTTATAATGGCCTTCCAGTACCTGAAGGGGGCCTATAGGAGAGATGGGGAGGGACTCTATCAGGGAGTGGAGCAACAGGATAATGGGTAACAGTTTTAAACTGAAAGAGGGGAGATTTAGATTAGATACTAGGAAGAAATTCTTTACTGTGAGGGTGGTGAGACACTGACAGGTTGTCCAGAGAAGTTGTGGATGCCCCATCCCTGGAAGTGTTCAAGGCCAGACTGGATGGGGCTTTGAGCAACCTGGTCTGGTGGGAGGTGCCCCTGCCCAGGGCAGGGGGGTTGGAACTGGATGATCTTTAAGGTCCCTTCCAACTCTAACCATTCTATGATTCTATGATTTCCTCTGAAACAAAGCTGCTAGCACATCTCCTCCCCCAGCCCGCTGGAGGGTCCTGTGAGGGAGACGCCATCATCAAAATAAATATCCTTCACCTGCCATTCCTGTGATTCCCAGGTTTTATAGGGTACTCTTTGTTACAACACAAACCAACATGATCAGGTAGACATGAATCCATTTTGTGTTGTGGACTAATGAATCTCTTCTAGCCACAGCAGCAGGATGACCAAGTCCCCATTTAGGGAGAGGGTGTCTTGCTACCAGACAGCTGAGGAGCCTCAGCAACCCAGGACTGAGGAGAACCAAACTTCCAGGGCATGTGTGTACATGGAGGAGTTTGAGGGTAGGGGTGTTACTACACATTCTCTCTTAAAATATTTTGTATTTAATAAGTGGGATGTGCTTGCCACCTCTGCCAGTCTGTTTGCTCACTGCCTATCAGCAGGGTGTAGCACTTCTTAATCAGAAAGCCTGCAATCAAAGCTGGCTGCTACTAATGACATATAGCCCAATACAGGATTTCCTTGCTGTAGAAGGACGGCTTCCTGAGGAATTCATACAACAGCTTCTCACCCAAGCCTGTCCTTATTACAGCCAGAAATACCCTGGCTCTACGCCGTGAACAGTATCAGCATCAGCCAGCTCATCTCCAACCTGTCCCATGTTGGCTGAAAACCCTCAAGGGCTTACTTTGTATAGAAACTTGTGTGACCAGGGCATTTATACTTACCCATGACACTGCCATGCAAGGAAGCCATGTCTCTGTGCTTACAGCTAAGCAGTGGGACAGGAACAAAAACCCCCAGCCTACCTGTGTTAGTGTCAGTTGGCATGCCGAGCTCCACCAGACAAGCTGAGAGCATGGGAGACTGCTGTCACACATCCTCCAGAAATGTGAAGCTGCTGGTGTTGTGAAGAAAGCCAACTACAGCATGATGGAAAGGAAACATCTTTCAGCAAGGGAAGTGCAGGTACACAACCGTCACACAGCCGGGGAACCAGCAGTAGTTGTGGGAATACCCTTAGGCGTTGCCCATCAGAGATGTTTCTTATATTAAAAATGGAAACATGAAAACTTTCCAGGTCAAGATCATAAGTCTTGCACTTGCTCTTTAAGTTCAGTATTTGATGTGATCCACACATGAACAGCAACAGTCATACTGATGTGTAGCTCCCAGTGCTGTACTGGAGCTAGAGGCTCCAGCCAGCCAGCCATGCTAACCCTCCTAGGGCAGCAGGAGGTCAACACGCTCTGCTGGTGCTCCCAGCACCCTGCCAAAAATCAACCCTGTGGGTGCCTTAGTGCAGTTCAGGCTCTTACCCAAGACAGCGGGTGGCAGGACGAGGCCCCAGCCTCATGCAGGGCAGCCCGTGGGGTGCAGGGCCCACTCCCCTTTCCCCACCACCCCCAGGGCTCAGCAGAGCTCGTGGGTCCGAGGACCCACAAGATGGAGCCAGGTAACCCCCAGGTTTGACAAGCACCAGGTAGAAAAATCTTGCATCATGAACGTGTGTTAAACTAGTTTAATAAAAACCAGTTTAATAATAACCAGTTTAATACCAATCTAATTAAACCTGGATGTGTGTGTATTCAAATGTAAATTTAATCAATGATTGAAATGGTTTAGCTTAATTAATGGTAAGTCACTTTAACATGTATTTGCACCATAACTTGCTAAACTAATGAAAACTGATCGCATAGCTGAGCCCTAATTTGCCAATTCAAGCAGAGTCATTTAAATGAGGTTTGCAACAGTTTCATTATACCAGTCTGGCATTATCCGATTGATTTTAAAATCAATTTAGCAAGATTGCACCATTTTAAATAACTCTGGGTCTTTAGTGCCTGTTTGCTAGGAAAGAGAGGGCTTGGGAAAGAGAATTTGACACAGGTTTCAACCTGCTCACACTGTTGGAACACACTTTTCTCTTTGCTTCCCAAGGAAGCTTTGCTGCTTGTCCAGCACTCCCCCTCTCCAAATAACTTTGCAATCAGTTTGGTTGAAATTGGCCATTGGGAAGGAGAGCAGAATTCCAGAGCATTAATGTATGCAATTTTACATGAGAAAGATCCCACTAAGGTCCTCAGGCTGCAGCAGGATGTTGACACTGCCTGGCCATTTCAGTCCACTTGCAAGCAATTAAGCCAAAACCTCACTGGCTGCTCAGAGAATCACCTGGGGTTTTTTCCCTTTAAAAATTTAAATTTTCATAAAGCAGGTTAAAACTTCCCTCCCTTTCATCACTACATGCATAAATTCCATCTACCAGCATTTGCAAATTTACCCTGGCAAAGAGTCTCATGTCACACCATGAAAACAGCTCCTTGGTGATACAAATCACCTTAACCACAACAACAAAAATAAAAGCGCTTCTGTTTTTCATAAACCAGCACAAGGGAGTTAGAGAAGAGACCTTGGGCTTGTCCCTCAGCTTTCCGCTGGTCTCAGCAGCGCTGTGGCTGTGTCACTGATGGCTTTTAAAGAGCAGCAGCAGCCACCTCCCCTCCAGTGACTCCCCTTACCCGGTTCCCAGCCGTGAGCCTGCCTGGCCTGCACGTCTTCCAGCTTGGGGCTTTTGTACCCCTAAGCTTGCCACAAAATTAGAGAAAGGGCTTTGTGTCTGACAAATAACCTGCAGCACTGAACTGCGAAGATGGAGCTTCGTCAGGAAGCGATGAAATAGAGCACACAGAATCAGGTGAGCACACAACAGGGAGCAAGCTCTGTCACCAGCTTACAGCCCCGAATAATGAGATGATCCCGGCTCAGCCAACACTCCTCCTCATGAGCCTGGGCTGGATCTCCCACCCAGGGAAAAGGAGGGAAAAAACAGCATAGGAGGAAACCTGAGCGAGGGAGGATCAGTCCAGGGAAACCGGCTTATCAGCAATTAAGGTGGGAAAAGCTGCTGCTGTGACTCACAGCACCCGTTCTGCAGGGCTGGAGGGCAGAGGTGGCTCTAGGAAGCCTCGTCCCAGGCCTTTACCTCCTCCCATCAAGGATAGAGAAGGGAAAAAGCTAATTGATTAAAAAGAAAGTGGCTTGCAGAAATGGAAAAGCAACCCAAAACTGGTAAAAGGGCCTGAGCCAGCACGTTCTCACCCCTGTGTTCTCAGAGGGTAGCAGCAGTCCTGGGCTCAGGGAGGTTTTTACCCCACCTGTGCCTGGCAGCATCTCCATTGGGAGGTACCATCCCAGTGACACCAGCCTACGCAAGGCAGTGAGTGTCCTCTGCACTGCTCCTGGCCCACCTCATTTGGGTGGAAAGACGCCGCAGGGATGCTGCAGGCACTGCTCATCATCGGTTGAAATGAAAACCTTGCAGCACAGTGGCTGGTATTGGAGGTGTCTGCACATCCAGCTGTTTAAATCACACCTAAAGCACCGGCCTCACTCATGCAACCTTCCTGCTCCAAGGGACATTCTTTACCTGCCCGGCTGCCCTGCGTGGGGACCGGCCTCACAGCGCTGGAGGCTGAAATCCCGCCAGGAAGGCTAAACCTGATCTATTCCCCAAATCCCTCCCCACCCATTTGTCAGGCTGCAGCCCTTTAACCAAGATCAAACATTCCACAGATCGATGCAAAGCAACAAAATTACTTCATTAGCAAGACAGCAAGTGCAGCATACACCTGGCTTTAAGGCCAGTCAGACAAGCTCATTAAGTCACAGCAATTTTTACACCTGGTGTCACAGGTTTCCTTATTATTACAGTGCCGACCCCTTGAACAGAGGAAGGATCATCTGTCATGTTCTACCTAATTCAATTTAAATCTATTTTTTTGATTTACCATACAGAAGGCATCATATTCACTCCCTGGAACTGTAAAATACAAGTTGACCTTCTCATCTCACATCGGTACAAATGCAAAACAAATCCACTGAAAGAACAGGAGCCGCACAGCCTCACGTCAGAGAGACTGAAATCAAGCCCAACCTGCCTTTACAACAAGCTGTCTGGGTCCTTTCTGAATGGAAAAGAACACGCTCGTAATTAAAGGAGGACATAAATCTTGGAGAAAGTGTGGAGCAGTGAAAGACCACGTAGAGAGTGTTGAAGTGGAACAGGCTCAGACACCTTTGCAGCATCACACGTCAGGGCCAGCAGACGTGGCTCTGCAGAGCGGAGACGTCACCAGCCACCCTCGCAGCAATTTGCTGATCCTCACAGTAGCAGGTTAAAGGGGATGTCCACAGTGGCCAGAGAACGAAGAGCTTGAACTTCAAATTAAATAGGAATGATTACCCACCCATAAACAAGACTTCTGCTCAAATCTCAGCTCTTAAATGGCTCGACATTGTCCTCATATGAAAGTGTTACCCCCTTCCCTTCTCCCTGCTCTCTCTGCTGCCACGGCGTGACAGATGACTGAGGCTTGGGGAGAGATGCCTCAGGCTGAGCAAATTTCAGGCTCTCTCTGAGAGCACTTTGATATTGAAAGTTACACACTTGAAATTTCCATACCTTTTGCTTCGCTGTGGTTCCAGCTTTTCTGGGATCTGATCTGACGGGAGCTTTAACAAATCATCTCTGCAGGAAGATTTTAGTCATTTAAGAAGTATGAAATGCCAAGGGTTGCATCTGAACTCACTAAGAGATTTCACTTCATACAATTTCAGCACCAGCCTTTGGCTCTCAAATAAATAATTTGCCCTCTTTCTAGATCAGTTTTTGGTCAGGTTTATGAATTATAAGCCTACGAAATACATTTTAAATATCATTCCTAACCTCGTTAGAATACAATGAATTATTCATGATGATTGAATGCTTCATTGGATTTATTTCCCTTGTTTTAATGAATGATTCATGGACTTTTGGACATTTATCTTACTTGAAGCTCTTCACCAAATACTCTGAATGAGCAATTTTGAACCAGCAGGTTTCTTTCACCATTTGCCTCCAATAGCCTCTGTCATTTTTAGTTTCCGCTGTGCATACAGCTGCATATGTGCTACAGCACTGATTTAGCTCCCTGATTAGATGACTGAATAAATCATAAGATTAATTGAAGGCAGGCATTTGTACAAAGAGTAGGCATCTCCTAAGCAGCCAGCCAACAAGCCCATTTACACCCTGTCAATTGATGAAAGGATGGGAAAGAACTAAAAAAAAAGGTAGAAATAAACATAACTTAGTTTTAGTGGCCATCTTCATCTGTCAGCAAAAGACAAGCCAACCACATCAAAATACACCTGAACGGGGCATGGTAGCCCTGTATGTGGAAGCTCAATGGCAGCCAGATTGTCTTCTCCTGGCCTCCAGCCACCTCATCGTAACAACATCAAACCACCTCTCCTCTGCTTCAGGGAAACCCAACTCCTGCTCAGCTGTGTCAACGCACCACTTGTCACCCTCTCACCAAGAGAAGATAGAAGGTTTTGAGTCCAGGAAAGGTATAAATATGCCTGTGTGCTCTCTGTCTCCCAGCTGGGCCGGTGGAGAGCAACCAGTGGACTCGGAGACCTGGCGAGTGAAATGGTCTTGCCAGCTCTCCTACATGTAAATGGCTCCATCTACAGCCACGTTCCAGCCACCGCCTGCCCACTTGTCCCCTGCCCAGGCACAGCTGACTCCACACCTGAAGGCAGCCCATCGCTGGTGATGGCCAGCAGGGCCCAGGCAGCTCCTGTCTCCACAATCACGCTCTGAACAAGAGGCAC